ATAATAATAATAATAATAATAATAATAATAATAATTATAATTATAATTATAATAATAATAATAATAATAATAATAATAAGAAGAAGAAGATGAAGAAGAAGAAGAAGGAGCAGAAGAATAAAAACAAGAAGAAGAAAAAAGAAGACTCGCACACGACCAACGGCTGTGTGGAGCCACCGAAAACACCAACCTTGCGTCGTCAGGTGCGAAAGTGTTTATCAAAATGACTCACGGATCAAGTATTGAATCATAAACACGGCTTTTGCAACTAGACATTTGGAAAATACTAATGTCTTATATTCGCAGGCGGAAACCACCTCTGTGGATTCAGCTGAATCATAAACCGGCTCTTATCATGTGCATAGATTTGGAAGTTAGGGTGCGAAATTCGAATATTCTATCTCGAATAATAGTTTACTGTAAATATAACTATTTTAAATGCGCACTCACCAATGCCTGTGTAGAGCCGTCTGAAGTATCAACATTTGCCAAGTCAAAGTGCAAAGATTTTTACAGTCACGTCCGACAATCGGATATTGGATATCAAACACACATTTTCAAACCAAACTTTTGCGAAGCATCCCAGAACTGTAAATTAGCACTCGATCAACCACTGTAAAGCCAGCTTGAGCATCAATCTGCTCCCATCCACATGATCGAAGATTATTTGGGACAGCATGGAAATAGAGTATTTATCCACGAACATTTATTTTTAAACAGTACTTTCGGAAAACTTCCCAAGTCTAAAAATTTGCCCTTGTGCAGCGTCGCTGCAGAATTTGCTTATCGAGTATTCGATCACGTAAACCAATTTTTATACTAGACGTTCATCAACCTCTCAAGGCCGCAAATTCGAACTCGACGACCGCTGAGGCATCAACCTGCCCCATCGTCATTCGTCATTGTCGGTCAGCCGGCAGCCATCCGTCCCCCTTCCTCCCCGGCGCGGAGATGCCTAGGCCTCAGCGGTCCGAAGTCCGCGGACCGCGCTATCAGCCGGCGCCAACGAGCGGGCTGGCGACTCCGGCGTCAGCCAGTGCACACCCAGCGGTCGTGCAGAGTGCTCCGGTTCTCCACCGTCTACTTCCCCCAACCCTTCCGTCGCCATGCTGACGCACTGCCTAGCCGCCGGGCCCTGGAGGAGCGGGAGGAGCGGCGCCGTCGCCCGCTGGGCCCTGCTCCCAACGGGGCGTCCCCGGGCCGCCGCTGCCGCCCCCGCGGCCGCCCGCCACAACTCGTCCTCGTCCGGGCCTGGCCGCAAGCCCATCGTCATCCACGCCAATGTGAGTGCACGCCGCTGCGGCAACGACCCCACAGCTTTGATCTTTGCTTGCACGGAACGTTTCGAGTCAATCCAAGGGGCATGAGAAGTAAATGCCAGCTTGTGATTGTACAGAGTGTGTCATATCTTATTCTCCTTTTATAAATCTTCTTTTTCTCCTTTCTCTTTATTCCTTCTTCTTCTTCTTCTTCTTCTTCTTCTTCTTATTATTATTATTATTATTATTATTATTTATTACGGTGTAATTGTTGATTTAGTTATTGTTGTTGTTTGCAATGCTATTGACTTGTCTAAAGCAATGGAACATTATATTTCTTCTTCTTCTTCTTCTTCTTCTTCTTCTCTCTCCCTCTCATTTTCTTGTTCTTCTTCTTAATTTTGTACTGGTTTCGAGCATCTTTTCTACCTAAATGTACCTAAATTTCTACCTAAATCGTTTTGACATTCATCTGGAAACTTTTGAAACGATATTCTGAAATCCTTACTAGTCACTTGGGGCGTTCTAATTTCGGCAATCATTCTTTCGAATTTAGATAATTTCATGTTTCTCGTAATAATAAGTTAAGTTATTAACTTTTATAGTATGGAAGCTAACATATAACAGTTCACTGGGAAACAAACATGGCGGAAACCGATGTTATCAAGCGAAATGTTGCCAGTGCATTGCCTCCACCACAATAAGACTTTCTCTCTTGATGGAACTTCTCGAACATAAATGTCTGATTGTTCCAGTAATGCATTCTATAAATTGAAATCCACTCTGGGACACGAACATACGAAACAGTTGAACATACTAGTGGATCATGTACCAGCTGTTGGATAGAATTATTTTCTTATGAATCGGGTTTTGATGGTTCCATTTATATTAAACAAGATTTGTGAAATTGTATCTTTCACGAAACACAAAATTCAGGAAATGGCTTCCTTATATTGCATTGAAAAATTATTAATTTGATGACTTGTTTTCCTTCAATTTTGATCTAAATATGTTAAATTAAATTCCTTTTTCTTTCAAAAAATATTTTGCCGTGTGTAGAAATTTTGTTTTTTAAATTTCATATTACCTCAGCCACAATTCCATCTACTTATTTATGTTAATTCCACAGCTGTCCATTCCTTTGTTCAGTCCCCTTTGCTACAAAATTACTGAATATTTTCAGAATAAAATGTGCATACAAATTGAAACCCATTTAGATGCCAGGTTCTCACAGTGCCTATGTTATTGATTTTTGGCGTTGATCCCAATAAATGAATTGTGCTTACGTATTTTAAATTTCATTGTTTGTATTTGGTACATAATTATCAATATGTTGAAAGTGAAATCAGAGTTACTTTGATTTATGCCTCTGTAGAATAAACAATATAAAATATAATCAGAGATTATGAATTTATTACAAAAGTTTTAAATCATCAATTTCATTCATGTCAGTTTCCTATCATTAAGTTAATTTCATTTAATTTATCGGTGTAGAAATCGATTGAGTAATTTTAAAGGAAAGAATCATTTTCATTGGGTGATCATGCAGTAATTTTCGAGTAAAATTGATTGTATTTCGGTGTCACAGAATCGCACATTGGTAATTTAGTGACTTCATGATTCTCGTCACAAGTGAAGATGAAGTTTGTTCAAAACGTTTCGAGACATGAAGTAGCGTAAAAATTTAGAATTGAATTTAAATAAAATTTGTAGCGGGTAGAACCAATAAAAAACAACAGTCCGGCAAGTTATCGAAACAATGAATCATTTCAACTGGAGGCTTTTTATCTCTTCCTCAGGGTGAAAGCTGCCGCATAATGTTCTTCTTTCGTAACTTCTATGCGATGTAAATACACGTATGTGATGATCATTGCGCTTAGGTGCGTAATTTTCGGCCTGAATAGATACTGTGTTACTTATTTGTAATACGGTGAGAATTATTTGATACATTGTCATCGTTTCAATTTTTCGGAATGTTCTATCATAAACTAGTTTTACAAAAATTCCCAGCGTGATTTGCCCGTACGCTTGTGCTTAAATGTGATTTATAGGATATTGTCAGGATTTCGGTTCAAGGACATCTTGAGTTCATTATTTTTATCGGATTGTGGTATCGGGAGCTTTAATCGTAAGTTGGCATCCTAGTCATTGGAAATTAATACAATTTCAATACGTGAAATGAATGGAGAGCACTTTGTTAATAAACATTAAATAAAATTTTATGTGCTCCCTTTCGTTGTCATAAATGTATTTCATAGAAATGAATATTTAAAATGGATTTCTATCCTTAATAAATAGCTTCTGCCCAACCTTTGTATTCTGTATATTCATACATCAATTACCAGGTAATTTATTTTTTATTTCACAACACTGTATTGGTAGATATGGGCAGTATATAATTTGACTGACCATTTTCGTTCTCTGTGTATTACTTTTTAATTTTAATATTTTTCAATATTGGTATAACAACCCCATCCCTAAATACAAACTGCTCTCTTAATTTCAATGACATAGAGAGATCAGCCTTGTTTATCCATCAGTCATGTTTTCAAGCCATCGTTGCTTGACATTGTGTGTAAAAAGAATTATTGGCTAAAGTATATAAATACTCTCAATTCATTGAAATCGCTCGGAAAGTACATTGAGGCCGAGCGTGTAGTCCCTGCGTTATGAGTTGTTTATCACCTTTCTCAACAGAAGCACTTTGACTTTGATCGTTCTTGCCGTTATCCAGGTAATCGTAGCATTTACAACCGTATGTTATTTATCTAAGAAGCAATAACTAGTGGTTTCTCCCTCCCAACTTTATTTCTCTTTCGATCGAGTCTGAAGATTGCAAGGCCTCTTACATAAGAGATAATTTAGTTTCGTTATCTCACATCGCCCTAGAGATTAGGGGGAACATGATACCTGAAAACGGTTAAGTCAAAAATTTCAAGAGTTTTCTCCACAAATTTCTTGTCATATGATTTTTAATGAGATATAGTGATAATTTATTTGTGGGAAAATGAGGTTATTTAAGTTTTTGCGATGTTATTTTAGTATTTCATAAATATTTCCATGACCTTCTTCACAGTTAATACTTTCCTACATTTTTTCTGCTATGGGAATAATATTGCATACTGATATTAAAAGTATTTCATTAAAGATAATGAGACACCTTGGCTCCCAGAACCAAAAACTTCATGTGAGGTGTCATAAAGCAGCCACGATGAAGTGATGATGAAAGTGACTTTTAATGCTTACCATTTTAGTTGTTAAAGTGGTGACAGCGATGAGATGAGAAATAAAATCAATAAAACCAAATTCCAATTTGTAAAGTAAATTAATTTTTTTGTCAACGTTTCATTGGGTGTAAAATTTCATTCAGTATCCTCTGTGTTGATTTTATAAATGCAGAGAACTTCATATTGGAAGAATAAACGTAATTGACGACTGGTAGTATTCAGACACATTACAATACGAAGAGGTGTTCATTTTCTTGGGTTCTTTCTGTCACATGCGGTTGATTGTGCTAGTGCATGTGCAATCTGGAACTCATCTTTCCATGAAACGTTATTTGAGCTTCCATCATAAATAGTAAGTTCATTGGAAGCAGAAATAACAAATTACTTGTACTACGTGTCCCGAAATCACATTACTTGTCAGCTAAAGTCTTTGCTATATGATGTCTGAAAAGTATACGGAATCGCGACTAGAAAATCCAAATTTTACCTCTGCTTCGACGCTTTATTTTCACTTAACTTTCTTCAAAAAATTGTTGAACAATTGGAAAGATTTTCATCGGCGACGGCTTTACAAGATGCGAGGCACTGCATGTTCTAAATCACATCCAGAGAAAGTTCTCCTCTTTCAACAGCTTTGAATCTTTCATAATCATAAGGGAATGGATTTCAATGAAGTACCATTTTCTTCTATTCACTTTAGAACAATACTATTTTGAATATAAATTAATTTTTTTATGATAAAAGGAAATGTCGCATTTCTGTCTTTATTTTGATTTTTTCCTCGATTTCGACTAATAAGATATTTTTAACCTGTTTCTGTCATTTTTTGCTAATTTCATCAATTTTAATATCATTTTAATGGTAATTGCTTCAAATAATATTTATGAGTTGCAACAAATGTTTTCCACATAATTCCTGAGTAGCCAATTCAATTTCTTTGTTCAGAAATTGTAATGTTAGGCGTTACATATTCATTGTCGGTTCGGCCGATTTCAGGATAACTGAAGACAGATTTCCTGTAGTTAGCTATCCCGACGAGAGAAATAGAGATTTACAAATTCAGTCCAATTCGAAAGTTTGAAAGCTCAGTTCACTTGAACGAAGAGTCGATTACATCAGTAATGTATCCAACAACTTGAGATGTTCATAAGAACTGTTTTTGATAAAGTTTTCACGTCACATTTCTTTGCTTTTGGACTTTCTAAAAACATTTTAAGAGCATTTTATTGATGATTTCAGCGATGTTTTACGTCATCAAAATCTGCGCGCTAATCGTTATCATTTGCCTTAACGTCGGTACATTTCTGTTAGGAATTGACCGACGGCCTCCGTTCTCAGTCAGGATATGTCACTATCCTTTGATATACTGATGCACGTATTTGAATCTCCCACTTTTTTGCAGTTTAGGGATCCATAGATCATAGCGGCTGGTGCCTATACAGCCGCTTGTTACCGACTGCCCTTTAGCGACATTAAAAAAAATTTAAGCTTTATTTACAATCTGTTCACACAACGGAACAACTTAGCCACGCTTGGAACTGATTAGAGTTGCGGACAGGTGGCACGTACATCATGGTTCATGGACTGACTTTGACTGTGCCTTCCTGCCCCTATCAACAAGCTGTCCACAAAATCCGCGCTACCTACTTCTTACCAGGGCGAGGGAAATGTCCCTGAATTCGAAGGCCAATATCTTCTGTGCTAACTTAAGGCATGGGCACTATGGACAGTTTTTAGAAACTGCAGGATTCCAAGTCTCCTCCAAAGATTTGTTTATTAACAAAACATGAAATAATT